AGGTAGAGAGAGAAGGTTGGATGCTGTACTGATTAATAATTTGAAGGCCGAGCCAGTGGCATTTGCACATGGACGGTGTCTTGGGAAAGGACAAGAAGATGGAAGGTGTTTAACCGGAACAGCTGGAAGGAGGGAGCCGCCATCGGCTGAGATGGGGTGGCTGAGGGACAACCAGAAGCTCAGCTGTGAGCAAGTGAGTTTGAGGCGTCACTAGACAGTGAAGGGTGCACAGCAGCAGAGAGGAGTCTGGAGCTCAGCGGAGAGGTTCAGGCTGGGCCGGGGAACATGGGAGCCTCTGTTTGCAGACCGTGTCCAAGTCCATGAGCGTGAATGAGCCTCCAGGTGAGTGGAGACGGCGGAAACCCACCAGGCTGGGGCTTGAACTGGAAAATGCTGTCCTGGGTGGAGACAGCTGCCTAGTGCCCTGGCCGTCCCACCTCTCTGCCAGCTGCCCCCCTCCCCAGGATCCAGCAGTGCAGGCTGCTGTCCAGGTGGTTCAGAGCCTTGCAGAACACTGGCTCTTACTCTGGGAGAGACGGGAAGCTTCCAGGACCCTGTTTCCATTAAAGCTGGCACAGGCCTCCAGGTTAAAAATATTGACTCGCTCCTCTGGGTGCAAAGACTGACCTGTCATCATGCAGCTTCTTTCTGTTCCAAGGCGAGATCCAACTTAGGTTTTAAAAGGATCGCTTCGGGGCTAGGGTAGGGAGGAGGAAAAGAATGGAGGGGGAAAGGGAAAATCAAGGCAGCATTTCGAGGTCACTACTCCTTAAATGCATCTCTCTCTCTCTCTCTCTCTCTCTCTCTCTCTCTCTCTCTCTCTCTCTCTCTCCAGATACACCAGCCCACAGCAAGGCGGGCTCCAGCAGCCCAGAATCCTGGGCTCGGGCCTCCTGCAATCCCCAGGAAGGGGGCTGCCCGCGGTCCAAGGAGCGTGAGTCCCCGCCCCCTGCAGCCCTGCAGACAATCCAGCTGCCCCGCCTGGCCTTGTCTCCACCGCCCCCAGCCCCTCCACCCCC